ATGGGTTTTCTAGAAAACCAAACATGACTCTAAAGGTAATATCGAAAGGTATAAATATAGACTTCAATGTTACATCCAAAAGGAAGGCATTGACTACAAGGAAACATTCTCTCTCGTTTTTAAGAATGATTCCTTGAGAATTGTAATGATGATAGTGGCTCTGTATGATGTTGAGCTTTATCAAATGGACATAAAGATCACCTTCTAAATGATAAACTTAAAAAGGAGATCTGCATGAACTAATTAAAAGTTTTTGAGATCACAAGAATAAAATGTTAGTGTGTAAGTTGAATAGATCGATATATTGACTAAAACAAGTCTCTCGTCAGTGGTATCTTAAGTTTAATGATATCATCACTGCTTATGGTTTTATAGAGAATACCGTAGACCGGTGTATCTATATTAAGGTTAGTGGGAGTAGATTTGTTAATTTAGTTCTGTATGTCGATAACATATTTATAGTTGCTAATAATGTGAACATGTTGCACGAATTAAAGTATTATCTCTCTGAAAATTATGAAATAAAGAATGTGGATGAAACGTGCTTGGTAATTGGAATAGAAATATTCTGGAATATATCACTAGGACTAAAAGTTTATCCCATTAAAGTTTTATTTGAGAGGTATTGGATGGTTGTTCCGTATAATTCCAATTCATCAAGGGACATATTTAGTGTAAATAAATGTCCGAAGGCGAAATGGAATGAAAAGTGATGGAGAAAATTCCTTAGATATAAATGATTAGGAGTCTTAAGCGAGACGAACCTGTATTTGGTTTGATAACATATTTGTTGTTGGTATACATTAAACAAATATAATTGTAATCCCTAAATGATTATTTAAATGCTGCAAAGAATTTCTAAAGTATGTACAAGGCATTAAAAAACACATGCTAACTTAAAGAAGATCCAAATTATTTTTATAATTGGATACTCGGATTCAGATTTTTGCTCATAATGTCTAAAAGAGCAAAATTATGGAAAAGTGTAACAAAGTCCATCATCGTGACTTCCACTTAAGTTTGAGTTTGTGGTATGCTTTGAGGCCACAAGTCAAAATTAGGGCTATGATGCTTTATCTTAGGACTTGGAAATGTCGACATCTTGTCCAAGCCGCTAAGAATTAACGTAGTTTTGTAGCAATAATATTTCAAGGAATGACAAGTATTCAAAGGGTGTGAATCACATAAAATTGAAATACTTGGTCGTAAAATATAAGTGAAGAATTAAAGTGTCATTTGAGCATTTTAGTAATAATTGCATGAAAGTGGATCCATTAAAGGGTTATTTCCTATAGCCTTTGGAAGACATATAAAGAAAATTGGGATTAACGAATGGGGCCTTGTTGGACTGATCGGTACTAAATGGAATTGCTCAATTATTGATTTGATACTTATTGAATTCAATAAAAGATGTTTGATTTTTCACATATAATACCATCATTATGGATATTCGATGTTATAGTATTTACATAAAAGTTGGATGGCTTATGGTTATGGGACGAAAGGCTTGTTCCATATTAAAGTAAAGTTGAATTAGAAATGATTTGTAGTACATGGAAGGGATCATGTCGCTCGAAGATGTGTGACCGCCATGACTCGGTTAATTTCTAGTTTGATTTTTAACTTATAGATATATGTATTCAATTATAAGTTTGATGAAAGGTGCGCGCTTAAAGTAGTTTTTTGGGTTTCAACACTTATATGGTCCAAGTGGGAGAATGTAATAATATTTTATATATTATTCAATTATTGTGGACCATATAATTAGTTAGACCTAATTGTAAGATGAATATGTATTTAATAGATTATTTAATGTTCTAATATTAAAGAGTCCAATGTGTGATGTTTGACTTGGACAGTAAGTTAGGTTAGAACATGGGGAATGTTAGTAGGAATAGGATTGTAGGTCTCCTCCTATATATATTACTACATGCCCCTCTCTCCCATCTCATACGAAATAAAGTTCTCAACATCAAGGGCTTTATGGAAAGACGAGAGACGAGGGAGAGAGAAACAATTCATAGGGAAAGACAAACCCATCATTGGAGATTGGAGGAAGAGGATTGGAGATTGGAGAAAGATCAACATCATAGATGAACAGGGAAGGACTATAGCTGGGTTCTTGTAAGTTTTATGTGCAATTTAATTTATGCAAAGATCCATGTTCTATGAATTGATAGAATTACATGCTTAGGGTTTATTCAATTCCGCCTAAAAGTTATGGATATACCCGTTAAATTTCTTACAGTGTCGGCATAACAAACAACAAAACAAAACTCCTATTCTACTTTTGCTCATCTTCTCCAAAACCATTATCACAAGCAAAAGCAAATCATGCATTTGAATACATCAAACATTTAACACTGTACATATCAACCACAACAACCGAAGGCCACCACAGTCCACTGCCTTTTTTTTTTTTTTTT